ATTTAACCAATGTTTGAAACAAAAGTTATACGTAAAAAACTTTCACTTTTTGAAGCGAATACATATGAAGCAAAAACATTGTGAAACAAATATATATTTATCAATACATTAAATGCTAATTTTTGATGGGGAAAAATCATGTGAAACATACGTCAAGGTAAAAGTTTCTCCGTAGCTATCACAATATATGGAGTTTTGTTTGATTACATTTATTTGTTTCATAATATGATAGTGTCATACGTATTTGTTTCACAATTTGAAACTTTTTTACTTGTAATTTTCATTTCACTAGGTGATCGAAAATAAAGTTCTACATGTTCTATTTCATAATATGAACACAAACATATGTGAAACAATACCATAAATCATTGTATTTGATGCAAAAAATCATATAAAAATATTTTTATACAAATTCTCTTAGGTTAATTTGTAATCTTTTATGGTTCTCATTTGGTTTTCGTGTATATATAATATGTATATGAATGTGTTGAACAATAACGTTGAATACTTTAAGTTCATATAACTTATAACATAAAAATCATGTACTAACATCAAATAGATAGAGGATACACAAAATGATATCAATAACTCATAAGTTATTATCCATTATTATAACAAAATTTAATAAAAAAACAACCCTTATCGATTATGTATCTTATCCGATACCGTTGTTTTAAATAACATGTTATGGCGACAAGGTGTGGCTTTGGTGCCATATTGACCCATGTGGCATGACTTGCGATAAGCACATTATTGCACGTTACGACGCAAGGGGTGAGTGTTTGGTTTTTACTTTTGCAGTAATTAACTCATGAATTATTATGTATGATCGATGGCATAACTGTCACTGAATAAAAACATAATTATGACATTACAAACAAATGATTTTACTCACAAAAATCACCTACGTAAATTTCCACCCGTGATTACCGGTGGATCATCCGGGATATATCAATGCTTCGGTAGAACTCAATGTTTATCGAGAGAATACCAACGGATCACACAAAGAATGTCTGGTAACCTGTCATTGATTTGAATTACCCATCAACAATTTTACCTGACTGTTTTCTGACAAATCACCCTTTAACGACACATTTCCCAAGGAAAATATTGTAGTCAAAAGTTTTCCATTTAGTAGTGTTATACATATAATCTAATCTAACATATTTTTTTATTATGATATCAGATCAGAGTAAAACAATTCTGGAACCATTAGGAGAAAATTATTTTTGTTATGACTTATATAACAACATTGCTAATTGTCCATGCTACAAAACTTCTAGCCATCAGAATAAATGTATGTGACGTTGAAGTTTTAATAAGTTCACAAAGTACCTGGTTGTTTAATACAAACCATGTACTTTGTTTGAACCCCCTAACCCTAATTTTTATCACCCAAATCTGATTTCCTGTAAAAGAATCGAGTACTATTATTGTTAATTCAAAATTATGAAAATGGAACTTGGTTTTCTGTGAGGAGTCAAGTAACATGTCTCTAACCACCTAAATGAAATCGGGTTCTCTAACAACCCTGCAAATGGAACTCAGTTTATTGTAACAACCAAGCAATATTTGTAATACAGCCGACAGACAGTTTTGTGGCCCGCATACGTACTTTTACACCAAATATCCTGGTTTTTCTTACTTATATTTGAGGGTTTGATTTAACATTCTTTACTAATATATATGTACCAAAAACTTAAAACATTGAGATGACTAAAGAAATGTTATAAGAGTTGATTTGTTAATTTAAAAATTAGGGAGTTTATAACTAAAAATTCTAAGGGAGATTGTTAGGGAAAATGAAAAATAAATTATGAGTTATATATAGGGTTTACTTGGTAGATTTGTTTGATTTTATTTTTATTTTTGAAATAATAATGACGGATAAGGTTCGGTTAATAGGTATTGTACTATCTTGTTTAGTAATTGGTTTCACAAAGACATAAAAAGTGTTCACATTATGAAACAAATATATGTAAAAAAAAGCCATGTTAATTAATACACTAAATCCTAGTCGTAGATGAAAAACAAATCATGTAAAATTGCACATGATACGTTAGTTCTCAAGATTATTACAATTTAGTAGTTTCTCAAATGAAGACTTATGTGTGTGTGTGTAAGAAAAAGATAGTGTGAGAAAGAGAGTTAGGATGAGAAACGTAGCAAGAGATTTGGACTCTTTACCACCTTTAATTTCAAACTCACCCATAAATCAAGCTTGATATGAGGATTGATCTGATCCATTGCGGTACATCTCATCTTAATGTACATCCAAGGGTAGAGATCTTTTCTTACGTTTCTCACTTTAACGGTCATTCTTACCGAAACTCAACCCTATATATAATATTAATATAATAGGGTTGGGATCCGATGAGAATGATAGTTAAGGTGAGAAGCGTAAGAAGAGTTTTCCACCATTCGATGCACCAAGATGAGATGCATCAGATCAATTCTCGTATCAAACGTGATTCATGTGATGGGTTTGAGATTAAAAGTGATCAAGAACCTAGATCATTTTTTATGTTTCTCATCTTAACTCTATTTCTCACTCAATTGGTCTAATATAAGATGTGATATATGACATATGCTACATGATATATGTTATATGTTATATGACATATGCTACATGACCAATATGATTATGGTGGGGATAAGGCAGTGCATTTAATATTTAATAGTGGCAGGTAGGTGGGGCACTTTAGGTATTAATTTTGTAGTAAATTTAATAAACATCATACCGATTGAAGCAAAATGAAATTGGTTTTAATTTAATATAACAAGTTTGATACACGGATATGAAATATTATGTACCCCAATTTTACCTTATTGTACGGACTTATATTTATTAGTTATCTTTTAAATAATATCATTTTATTTTTAGTCATTAATTAATACTTGATTTTCTTGGTTACCTAATTACCCTAATTATCCTAAACTTCAACTTATTCAATAACGTGCTCCTTTGTTTGTTGTTTGTTTTTAACACATTTTCGTTGTTTATTTGCATAAAATACTTATAATCAAGTGTATGAGACAACGAACATTGATTTTGTCCAAACTAATGCCTAACAATCTTCATTTTCCGGTTTGTGAAGATCCTACGAAATATTTGCTTATTGAAATGCTTGTATTACTTTTTGAAAAACGGACCATTGAACATTATAACTTCAGTTTTTGGTATTTGAACATTTGTAACTTTTATTTTTGCCATATTAGTACAAAACTAATACCAACATGTATCAACCAAAAACATTTTGTATTAATTAAGTTGGTACAAAATAATTGGTTGGTGCAAGATATAAGATTCTCCTTACTAATTATTGTTAGTTGGTAAATCGTAATAAAGAAAACGTATGGTATTGTACAATGTTCACCCTTAAGGCTCCTACAGACCTAGAATTTCTTTCAAGTGAAACACTATTTGATTATAAGAAACAAATATAGAGATTTATCGGTTAGGTCATTGATTTTGATATCGGTTTTGAAATGGATGAAAAACCTCTCAAACCAACTCTACCAAGGTAAACTTATGTCCTTTTTTGTAGTTTTAAAATATATACCGTTATACACTACAGTGTCATTTTTACGACCCTATAACTTTTATAATACGACGGAGGAATGAAGCGATGATTTGTACCACTGTATCCAATACACTATGTCCATCCCAGGCTCCTACCATATGGATTACTTTGTAGCTTTTGGGTATCACCTCTTAACTAGGAATGAAAAACCAAACGCGACCACGTTGGAAATATGAGTGACCGTCCATCTGATCACTTTTTTCAACAATTTGGTTAATATGATCTGATTCAATCATCTATTTGTCCTCAATCAGAAACAATCCAATGTTAATGTTAGAAACCGATTCAATACAATCTAATAGGTGAGTCGATTTGTTCTTTCCATCGATTAAATATTACTGGTTATGCATTGAATGAGATTGGATCTATCCACATTTTGATCTAATTTTCATACAATAAATCTTCCATTTTAATCCATTATTCATATATTTTTCTTATTTAAAAAAATATACTATATACACATATCAACACATAAGATTGTAATATATATTAATTGGATAATAGTTGGTTGGATAGTAATAGGATTAAATTGGTAGTTTTATTGGGATTTGGATCGCTATCAAAGAACCGACTAATCCAATTTGAATGTTAAAATTTTAGATCCAATCCTACTCAATTACAATTGAATATTCAGTTATGATCGGTTCTAATTGGATTGGATGACTTTCTACACACCCTTATCAACATTGACAGAAGCTGTTTCAAATTACTGAAATTATTTTAATCATTGCGACTGCTACAAGAAACTCTTTCAAATTGGAGTAACCTCGGAATAGTTAGCTACAAATATGAGAATTCTGAGGAGACGCTACAACAAAATTAGATTTATAGGATTCCGTCAATTGCTAAGCATTCTAAACCATTTTATAAGACTTAATTTATAGGAACAAAAAATAAAATGTCATATCTAAAGACGTTATAATAAATTTATAGGAAGCTTTTGTACATCTTAGCAAGTTTTTTAGGACACTTTTAATACAATGCTACATATTAGCAATTTCATAGCACACTATTTGAAAGTGTCCTATAAAAAGATGGGTTTATAAGACACTCTTTAAAAACCGTCCTATAAAATTGCTAATGTGACGCTTTGTACTAAAAGTGTCTTAAAAAACTTCCTAAAATGTCTTATAAACTTATTACGCCGCCTTTAGATAGAACGTTTAAATTTTTGGTCTTATAAACTAAATCTTATAAAATTATTTATTATAATAATTAATGATTCGTCGTATCTTATAAACCAAATTTTATTGTGATGAATGAGAGAGTTTGTTTTCTTTACATTTATAGCGGCATTTATTCCCTCCACATGTAAGTTTTTGTTATGTATGGTCAATCCCCTTTTTTTTTTTAATTTTATTGCTCCAATTTTGACAATAAAAAATATTTCTATTTAAATTGGATTCTTATCATGAGTTGCTTCAATTACATCTACAACAGAAAACTGTGAGCAGAGTGTTTGTTTCATTGTAAGCTTCATTCTCAATCTATTAATTAGTTGATATTAGTTTGAATGGTATGTATATTAATAGTTGGTTATGAATCCATCAAAATCTCTCTATTTAGATGGATTTTTATCATCAATCGTTTCAATTTTTTTTATCTGATTCAATTCCTAAACAAACCTATTTAAGTTTATTTGCAAACAAGTGTTTAGTTTGCCATGCACATTGACAATTGGTAGTGAACCCATGACCGGCCCTCAATAAAATCATCTATATATATTGGTTCTAATTATTGATTTCTAACTGGAACAGAAAATTGCGATCAAAGTTCATTGGAATCTCCATCATCTCCGGCTTCTATCTATTTGAAGGTATATGTTGCTTTTTTCCTCGATTTTCTTTCTCTCTACCAACTCCCAACTTCATTTAGATTTGTTTGCATACGACATGATAGTTTTAACAAAAAAATATAATTTTACGAGCACAATAACATGAACGTTTTATTTCTTGTAATTGTGTGAAACTTCAATTAATTAATTATCTTTTTATTTTAATTGTTAGTTTATCATGTATTTACACCTCAACAAGATGTAGTTTTTTAAATTTGTATAAGCCTATCTATTATGGACATAGTTTCATCTCATAGTTCCCACAATATTTGGGTAGTGGTTGTGTCTGAAACCATAAATGTGTTATCGTGTAACGTAGATATTTTTAGTCGTTTAATGGTGTAATCTTATTTTTCATCGAGTGTACCATAACTTTTTCTTGGGTTAAACTATAATTTTTTTTTGTTGTGTTAGACCATAAACCTAACTCTACAAAGAGATGAATTTCAATTGATATAACAATGAAATCATAAATATTTTTTGTTGGTAACACCATAACCATTTTTTGTTCCGTGAAACCGGTAACCCTAACTCTTCAAAGAGATGCATGAATTTCAATTGATATTAATTTATGTTCATATTTAGGGTAACATGTCAATATTTGGGTTTTAAGGTTAATTGATATTTATTTGTATTTCGGGTTCATTTAATCATATTTAGGGTTGATTCTTTAAGGTTAATTTGTTTATATTGACGTCAACATAATAACATGTTATTTAGGGTAAATGAATTTTTGTATATTTGGTTCTAACTTGTTTTTAGGATTAATTTAGAGCTAACTCTTTATTGTTAACTTGTTTAATTTTTGTATATTTAGAGCTAACTCTTTAATTTTGCCATATATTGTATTGATTTCATTCTGTGCATGCATGGTATCTTTTTCATCACGCTATCCTTACTCCTATAACAGGGATCCGATGGCAAATGTGGATGTCGAGGTTGGAGGCAGAAGAGGACCGAGAAACAAAACGAAATGGTGGCATCGCAACACACCACTCCAAGATCTTCTTGATTGTATAGAAAAGGGACAGAATCTTTCCATTCAACAGCCACCGTCGATTTACAAGATTCCTAGTAGTGCCCGAAAGATAAGCCCAGATTCTTTCAAACCTCAGGTGGTCTCCATTGGACCTCTCCATAGACAAGATAAAGCATTGCAAGAATTTGAAGAGCAGAAAACGACTTATCTGCATCATCTATTACAACGTTTAAACATCAAACCAGAAATAATATTGGATAAATGTTTGCAGAAGGTGAATGATTCAATACACAAAATCAGGGAATCTTATGGTGGGATGATGACCTACACAGACGTTGAACTCGCACAGATGATGGTAATCGATGCTTGTTTCATACTCGATTTCCTTTTCTTGTTCGAAGAACATCAGCCTTTAACTTCCACAAATGCTATCCTCACACGTTCTATTTCCCGTGACCTGGTGTTGTTAGAAAATCAAATTCCTTTCTTTGTTCTTCAAGACATCTTCAAGTGCACCATTTCTAAATTGCAAACAACCCGCTCTCTTACTTCTGGCATCCTTCAACATTTACAAATTCTTAGCCCCTTCAAAGAAATCAAACGTAATGATGTTATCTGTACAACCCAGCCTCATCATATTCTTGGGCTTCTGCAAAGATCTTTCCATCCAACAGATAATATCCCATTAAATTGTCCACTATTACGATTTCCCAACCACTCTGCTCTAGAACTGGACAAGGCCGGGGTAAAATTTGAGCCTAAAAAAGATGAAAATTGGACATTGGCCATAGATTTCAGCTCATCTTCGTGGAAATTCTTTAGGTGGTGGTGGGGCAACCGTACTCTTAGAATGCACAAACTGTGTATTGATGATAGCACTGAACTATTTTTGAGGAACTTAATTGCATATGAGCAGTGCACTCCGGACGTTCCTGATTTCGTTACATCATATGTCTGTGCCATAGATATGCTACTCGATACTAAGGAGGATCTTTCCAAGTTGGTAGAATCAAAAGTCCTTACCAACAATTTAGGTTCAAACGAAGATTCTACCAAGATGCTCAACAAACTATCTGAACAATTTGCGTTCAAGGAGTTCTATTACATGGAGCAGTGGAAGCAATTAGATGATTATTACAATCGTTATGTGCCCAAAAATATTGCATTGTTGAGGCGTACATATTTCGATAGTCCATGGAAAATCATTGCTCTACTAGCTAGCTGCTATCATCCTATTCGTTCTTGCCATCGTTCAGGTCATCTTAAGAATAATCAAGTAGATTCTCAATGTTTCTTTTGTCTTCCTTCTTTTTGGCATTATGTATGGTATCTTTTTCACTTCCTCTTAAAAAGTCATTGATGTCTTACAACTGTTGGTTTCAATGTTAAGCTTGATTTATGTCACTATAACTAATATGAAAGAGTGTTTTACCCCTAGATGTCCAGTCAACTGTTGCGCCTTTCACGGTTTAGGTGTTCATTTTTCAGCATCAATTTTGGTTTTCATTCCTCTTTTTGCCTTTTGAAGTTAGAAATCTCACATGGTGTGGGGTAATTCTTTATCGTCTTTTTGCACTGCTTTTCTGTATATCGATTAGTTATTTGACCTTCTCTTTTGATATTTATAATTCTATCGTTTGGACATGTCATGATTTTATGTCGCTAATTATTCATTTGTATGGTATATATACGTTAATGAGCGATTTTAGCCAAAGTATAAAATAGAGTATCGTAGCCAGTTTTGGATTATAATTAATTTAAGGTTTATATATTACACAAGTCACACAACTCTACCTCCATAGTACAAATGTTTCTACTAATTCCGAAACCGAAAAACTTTTATGATTGGGGGCACACCAAAAAGTTTCGAAACCGAATAACTTATATATTTGAACCAAGACGATTTTAGATTATTTGGTTTTTGGTTTAAACTGTTTGGTTAACCAAATAAATATAAATTATTCGATTGGTTCGGTTTTCTGTTAGTTCTATTATTTCGGTTTAGTCGAGCAGATTATACTTCTATTTTATATATTTTACTATTTCGGTTAAACTAAAGCAAACGACCGATTGCACATTAATACAAAATTTGACTTATTCATAAGGGACCAAATGGCACTTGGAATTAAACCAACTGCTAAAGGAAAGATAAATCAAAATGCCTAATAGTTAATAAACATATAAATTAGTAGTCAACAACAAAAAGTACATAAGAATAGGCCAAAAATGAGATTTAATTAAGAAAAGCATACAACAAAAGTCCAAGAAATCATAAAATATAAGAAATAAATGAGTATTAAATCGAAATTAAATAACAAACTCAAACAACAATTAATTATAAAAACTAATAATTAACAAATTACATAAAAAAATGAGATGATTTCATTCGTTAGAACCTTGAATAACTCAACAAACTATTTCAACAAGACAACAACCTCCTTCATCCCATAAATCGCTCTAATCCATGAATAAACTATGAACACCATCTCCAATCTATTAGTCTCTATTTTTGGTATATAATGTAATTAGTTTTTTATATTTTTTAGGTGTTATTTTTTCCTTGTTTATTGGTTGTGGTTAACCATTAAATTCCTTGTATTGTATCTTTGTAAATCAATCAATAAATTATGTTATCCTTTATGGTATTAGAGCAATATCAACCATAACTCTAATACCTAGAAAGCAGTTGCCATGGTGCAACCGTAGCAACCACTGTCAGCAACCACCATGACTGGCGGCGAAACCTCTTCTCAGACCGAAACCAAGTTACATCCTGTGTACATGGTTTTCAATACCCAACTTAAGGTACATGTCCTTGGAGGCTCCAAGGTTACCTACTCCGTGTCGGTTAAACTTTTCCAACTTCATGCTCGTAGGTACAGAGTAGTACACTACATTGATGGAGCACCGTCATCGTCCAAAGCAAATCAAACGTATGCACAGTAGGTAGAAATTGATGCATACGTCCTTTAATGGATATGTGGCATGGTTTTCAATGATCTCCTCACTCGTATCTTGGAATATGAATCAATAGCCTATGAGGCTTGGACCTGAGTCAAGAACATCTTTCACAACAACAAAGGCCCCCGGGCAAGAGCTCAACAACCTTAAACTTGAAACAATTTTGTCGCTCCAAGCGTACTGCCAGCACCTACGGGAACTTGCAAGATAATTAGAAGATATGGATGCAAGTGTCAATGAACATTGCTTGTTCTTCAACTCGTTCATGGCCTACCGGCTACCGGCCGAATATGACATAATGGCTTCTTATATTCGTTAAATGCTTCCCTCATTCGAGACTTCCCAAAGCATGCTCGAACTTGAGCAACATCAGAAGTCTGATCATAAAGAACCCATGACGTCCTCAACTGTGCTTGTCACTCACTGCCAACCCAACACTATCGGCCCGAACGACTCCATAGCCGATCTTAACCTATTGAAATCATGATGGGCCTTGCCTTGGCTTCCGGCCAACACAACGGGCCAGTGACTGACCCAATAATATCAGCAACTTCGGCAAGTGCACATGGTAAATGTCGATCCTCTTCAGCCCATTGTCCTCGGGAAAGCTTTTCAGGCAATGTCTCTTGAACCTCCGTTTGACCTCGATTGGTACATGGATACATGAGCATCCTCCCATTTTACTTCTAACATCGCTAGAGTTCCTAACTTTATAAATTCTAGTAAAGTTTGTTCCGTATTTATTGGGAACAACACTAATGTTCTCATATGTGTGTGGGGAAAATCTCACATCCCGCTACCTACTCGTACCCTTCATCTCAATAATGTTCTTTGCACGCCAAACATCATTAAAATTTTATTATTTTCTGTCGGTTTACTAAACAAAATAACATTATTGTTGAATTTGACCCTCTTGGTTTTTCTATAAAGGATATCAAGACTAGGAATATTCTCTTGCCAACCAATAGTTTCGAGGACCTATATCCGCTATCCATGATCACTCAAAGGCCATAATTTTTCACAACCTTCACTCATGATGTTTGACACAATTGCTTGGGCCATCCTGACAGCTCTATCCTTTCCGTTTTACGTACAAAACCTTTAATTCAATGTAATAAAGACCCTAACTCTCATTTATGTAATTCGTGTCAAGTTAGTAAAAATAAACGTTTTTTTATTCCAATTCCAATACAATTGCACCATTTGATATTATACACAGTGATTTGTGGACCTCTCCAGTTTTGAGCAAAAGTAATTACAAATACTATCTTGTGCTCATTGACAACTTCATACAATTTGTGTGGGTTTATGCTTTAAAATCTAAAATCGAAGTCTTTGACGAATTCAAACAATTCTATACATACATTTTTACACAACTCGGGCGTCCCATCAAGTCCTTACAAAGTGACCTCAGATGGGAATTTGACAATAGCAATATTCATCAATTTGCATGTTCCGATGGCGTCATGTTTCACTTCTCGTACCCCCAAACATCCCCACAAAATGGAAAAGTTGAATGCATGATTCGCCAGCTAAATGAAATAGTTCTCTCTCTTCTATACCACGCATTCCTCCCACCATCGTTTTGGGTTGAAGCCCTTCACACCGCTACCTACCTCCACAATATTCTTCCAATAGAACTCCGTAACCACTGTTCCCCATCCTCCACGTTAGTCCTCCGAGAACTCTCATACAATCACCTACATATATTCAAATGTCTCTGCTACCCCAACCTTTCCGTAAAACGCCCTCACAAAGTCGCCACACGCTCCACTCTTTATGTGTTCCTCGATTACCCATCCAATATCGGGGTTATCATTATTTTGATCTTAAAACTTAAAGGTGATTTTAACACATTCACTTCTCCCTCACGTCCCTTCCTCCTTCCTCATCCTACTCCTTCCTCGACCCGTCAATCCCATACGAACCCATCATAATCAACCTCACTTATACAATTCACACCCCACCCAACTTCCTATGCCCTCATCACCCCACCCCACCCCACCCTACCCGTACCATACCATGGTCACTGATTCCACACCATCCCACCAATTCACCTATGCCGACGTCCATCCTACTAACCAACCTGCCCATGCTACACATTCCCAGACATCCAATGACTATGTACACCATGCGTGCCATCTTCAAACCTAAACCTATATTCGACCTCCATACTTTAACCACACCTAATATATCTCCACTTCCCAAATCACCTTTCGATGCCTTCCAAGACCCTTACTAGAATACGATCATGCACGAAGAATATTAGACATTACAAAGTAATAATACTTGGGAACTTGTACCTCGCCCCCTAGACACCCCCATTATCAGGTGCATGTGGCTATTTCACCACAAGTTCCACTCTGATGGATCACTGCAGTGTTACAAGGATAGGCTTGGTAAATGGTGAAACTCAGCAGGTTTGTATCGGTTGTGAAGAGACATTTAGCTTAGTTGTTAAAAGCGGCTACCATTCAAACTGTAATAAATCTTGCCATATCATTGGGGTGGACAATCTACCAATTAGATGTGAAAAATACCTTTCCTTCACGATGATCTCTCTAGGACAGTTTACATGTAGCATCCATGCGGTTATATTGATTCCATTACCCCAAATTATGTTTGTCGATTGTGGAAATCCTTTTACGACTTCAAACAAGCGTGCCAAGCTTGATACAAATAGTTTGATACGTTTATCCTCTCACAGGGTTTTCATAGCAGTTTGTGTGACACTTCATTATTGTTGATCCTCTCTCTCAGTGATTTGATGATAATCCCTTTTCTTTTTCACGTTGTATTTGTGTTTCTATATTTTCAGTTTCAGCGATCTTCACTGAGTATGTTCAGTGATCACTGAAGAACTTGTATTGTAAATCTATCAGAGACAGCAATACTTAAAGAAGACAACACTCACACCAAAGAACCTTCAGCAAACGTCGAAGACTGAAACTGAAGATTAGAGACCAGCGAGTACGTGATCTGAAGCGGTATTCAGTGATTACAAGCCTGTCTATATACGTGTGAAGACTGCTCTAGCTTCAGCGAATGATGATGAGACCTCCAGGTCATTCCAGCATTCAGCGATCAAAGGAAGCTTGCTTAGCACAATTGTTGTTGTCTTATCCTTATGCACACAAAGGACAAAACTCATACCCTTACAAAAGTTAGTACGGTACGGAGCCGATTAGTCGACTCTTTGTCCACCAACTTTAGGTAAGGATGTCTGCTCAGAAATAGTGTTTTTGTACTATTCACTGTAGCAAAGGACAAGCATTCCTCTTAAGGCTTGACACGCACTCTATACCTACCTTATTGCATTAAATGGACATTTAATGCACTGGGTATAAATAGAAGTGTTTCTTCTCCATGCAGAGCGCGCGCATCTCTCTCTAACCTTATTCTTACTTCAAGCATCTTCTAGCTTAAGTAAAGGATCTTTCTTTTAGCATTCTCTTTTCTTGTATTTGCTAAAGC